TATTAGGTTGGATTGTTTACCTACAAATTCTTTTGGTTTTTGTGGATAAACAATGATATTGTTTATGCATTTAGTGGTTATTGTTTCTTGTTTTCCAGTTTAAGTTTCATTTATTTTCCAGGGAAATGAAATGTAATGGCTGTCTGTCCAGCATTTCTGAATAGTGATAGATGGCCATTCTTTTTTTTTAAATATTTATTTATTTTTTTTTAGTTCTCGGCAGACACAACATCTTTGTTGGTATGTGGTGCTGAGGATCGAACTGGGGCTGCACGCATGCCAGGCGAGCGCGCTACCGCTTGAGCCACATCCCCAGCCCTAGATGGCCATTCTTGCCTTGTTCTGGGCTTTAAATAGTAAACATTAATATTAAATGAATCCATATGATGTTTACTGTGGGTTTTTTATATTTTCAGTTTTTCCTTAATAGTCTTAAATTACCTACAATTTTTGTTATGAATTCATTTTGGATTTTTAATTAAGTCTGCATCCATCTTCTTCAATCTATTCGAATGGTGAGTTCCACTTTTAAATCTCCTAATGCAGTGGTTTTTAAAGTTGGCTGCACATTGGAATCACTATAGAAACTTGTAAAAATGCTGATGCCTGTTTCTTCCCCCCGAGATTCTAGTTTAAGTGCTCTGGGTTGGAGTGGGGGCATTAGGATTTTTATAAGCATCCCTTAATGATTCTATTGTGCAGATAAAGTCTGAGAACCACTGTTCTGAGTTAAGCCATTCAGGGATTCCTGGGATAGGTCCTCCTTCAATATGATTTTTTTTTTGTTAAATAACATTTGTGGTTTGGCTTGTGATTTTTAAAAGGATTTCTACATCCATGTTCTAATAGATTAGCTACTAACTTTCTGTTCTGGTCTTTTTCAGTTGGTTTTGGTATTATATCTTTTTCTAAAAGATTACCCTTTTTTCAAATTGGAAATTTTTCCAAGGTTATGTAGCTAGTAGCCAGGGCTGTAAGTTCAGTTAGTTTTTGTTTTTATTAAATCACATCCTTTTTTTAAAACAGGTAATCTGTGTCCATGATGTCTCGTCCATCTACCGGGTCCCCTTGTTGTTAGAAGAGCAAGGGGTTGTAGATTATTTTCTTCGAAGACTTGACCTTCCTATTGAGAGGCAGCCACGGAAAATGCTGATGAAGTGGAAAGAGATGGCAGACAGGTTTGCCTCCCCGTGAGGAGCTGGCAGTGCCAGCTGCCTTCCTCTTTGGTAGGGCCCAGGGGATTCGGTCATGTTGGAGCATGTTAGCACCTCACTCTCAGCTCACTGGAGGTCTTCATGGTAAGGGACGTTCAGGTTGCTAAGGAAGGAGCTGGTAGTTGTAGTTGTCAAGTGGAGACAACATAGGTGAAGAGGGCCTGGCAAGGCTGGGCCAGTTCCCAGACCTCCAGGCAGCGAGTGCAGATTGTTTTCAGCTATACAGTCAGCACAAACAGGTGCCCCTGGCAGTGGGTTACCATGGGAATGGGTGGCCATGGCTGGAGCACTTGTGGGCAGGCAGCATGCCTATTGTCTGAACCGCATTTGGGAAAATGTTGCTCAACCAGCACCACCCTTGCTCAGCAAGGCCTTGTGGGACCACCTCCTGAAGTGCTGGTGCTCTCACCTTGCTTCAGGGTCTTCTCAGAGCAATGGGTGTGCCTTGTCACAGTTGCAGAACTAAAAACAGTGTGGAGGTCATATTAGCACATGTGGAGGGAGCATTTATTCTGTTCTGTGATGTTTAAGCTTTGACCTTTTTTTCATGGATCTTTTACATGTCCATTTACATGTAGCTACCAAGATGGCCCATGGTCTTACAGTTCTTTTTTCTTAAAACGTTATTGCATTTTGCTCTGTTACTAATTTTTATAATGAAACTTTTAACAAGTGTGGACTCTTCTATTGTGTGAATATCCCATAATTTATTTGATTCTTCCCTTCATCTCATTAACTCATGGGATTTGTCTGTTTGTGTTTTTTTTTTTTTTTTGTCCTTTGGGATTGAAATTCTTTAAAAACAAATTTGTGTGAGATTTTGAAACCTTTTTGATAACAGCTTCTAAAATCCAACTTTCTTTACAAAGCCTGCCCTGTTGATCTGAAATTGCTTCTTTACTGGTCTGTGTGTGACACTCAGGTGATGTTCGTTTCCATTGTGTTCTTCCAAGACATTCTTTTCTTCTCTTGCCAAAGCAGTTTTGGTCTCATGGTGATACGTGTATTCCAATTAATTGGGTGTTTCTTGACCTTTGATAGATATGATCGCTTGCTGGAGACCTGCTCTATTGCCCTTGTGGGTAAATACACGAAGTTTTCAGACTCATATGCCTCTGTCATTAAAGCTCTGGAGCATTCCGCATTGGCCATCAACCACAAATTGGACATCAAGGTGAGGTGGGATGACCTAAGTTAGCCAAGGGGTAAATAGGGAAGCAGTCTATATTCTCATAGATTTTGCATGCCATATCTCCTTTATAAGTTTTTGGAGCTCTTGAGTTTCTTCTGGGAGATAAGAACGTTTGGTTGAGCTCTGAGAATACAGAGTATTTTCTGGAAATAATGAAGGGGAGAGGTGGTCAAGAGTAGAGGTATAGAGAGACTGAGGGCTTGGATCTGAATATCAGTTGACCACATGAAATTGTCCTAGGATAAAATTGCTCTTTGGGGTGGGAAGACCTGGTGGACAGGGGCATGCATGTTGCATGGTCGATAGCACTGCCTGGAGCGTTGTCAACGACTGCTTTGCTTTGCAGTGTGGTGGGCAGAAGCTGAGCTGGTAGAATGTTTGGACAAGACTCCACTGCCAAATGAAATGCCTGGGACTCAAATTCTAGCTCCATTGCCTAGGAAGTATATGACCCTGGACAACCCTCTCCCTGCTCAGTTTCCCATAAAAAGGCATAGTGATGTTCCTTCCTCCTGGGTTGTAAGATTGATGAAATAATGTGAAGTGCTAAGGTTTGTGCGTGCCGTATTAGTGCTCCTTGAAAATCTCCCACCTGTCCCTCCTTCCCACAGGGAGAGACAGGATCTTGCTAAGTTACCCAGGCTGGGCTCAAACCTATGATCCTCCTGCTTCAGTATCCTTAGTACCTGGGATTACAGGCATACACCACAATTCCTACCTCTTATCTATCCCCTGTAGAACTTTTTTTCTTAGCTCACCAGCTGAGATTTAGAAGTGAAGTGGGATCTCAGTGCTTGATGGTGCCACATGAACCTGGCCCCACCATCCGCACTGCAGTTTTCTTCCTGCTTCTACATGTTTCTCAGGGTGATAACTTGCTTTGTGCTTTGGGCAGGTTCCTGCAGGATGACCTGTTAGAAGTGTTTAAGAATCAGAGGATCCCATTACACAGCCCTGATTTAGTTTTTGCTCGTTCTTTCCATCATTCAGTTATCCACTTGAGGTTGCGTGGCTGCCATGTGTTAGATAGTAGAGGCTGAGAGATGAATGAAAAATCTCTAGTCCCTGTGTTTCAGGAATATTGGGTCTGTTTGGTGTGAAGGTAGCACAGGAAAGAGGGTGCGCCTGCTTTGTAGACATGTAGGGAGGGCAAACTCCCTCAAGGGGGGACCTCTGGGAAGTTGGAAAGATGGGAAGGGCATTCCTGACAGATGGAAGAGCATGTCCAAAGGCTTGGAGGTGTAGAAGAGTTGGAAACTCAGTGGATAGAAAAATGTGAACTGGAGACAGCTGGCAAGGGCCCAGTCAGGATTCCTGTGAACTCTGCCAGCCCAGGTCTTGCTCTGAGGTTCAGGGAAATAGCTACAAGGAATTAGGTAGGGAAGAGTAGAAGAAAGATGGAGAATCTTATTAAAAAGTGAGCAAAAGGTTTGAACAGAAGATTCCAAAGAAAATGCATGTGATATGCGTGATATGCACCTTTAGTTGTCAGGGAACTAAATTCAAATTAAGTTACAGGGAGAGACGGGCACAAGCCCCTAGGGTGGCCTTACTGCTGGGAATGTAAAGTGGCACAGCCATTTTAGAAAATAACAGTTTGAAATAAAGACACATATGACCAAATTCTATATATGTACTCAAGAGAAAAAAAAAAACAAAACCAAAAATGTGTCCCCACAAAGATTTTTATTCAAATGGACACATTATTCATAATATCCCAAATCTGGGAACATCCCGAATGTCCTCAACAGGCTAGGGGATGGTACTGTGGTGCATTTATGCAGTAGAAAGCCACCCAGCCAATAAAAAGGATCAAACTTGGGATATACAGCGATTTGGATGAATCTTAAACCCATACTGAACAAGAGAAGTCGGACAGGAAAGGCTGCATGCTGCTTGGCTCCATTGATATGAGGCTCTGGAAGAGGCAGAACCTGTGTTGATAGGAGTCAGCTCTGGGCCTTCTGCAGGAGGAGGAGGGAATCTTGTGAGGTAGTGGCACTATATCTTGATGGGGTGGTGGTTACGCCTTCATGTGTATGTTTGACAAAAGTCATCAAAGGGCACTCAAGATGCTTGTGTTTTACTGTGTGTAAATTATACCTCGACACAGTTGAAAATGAAAAAGGACACAAACAAAACTGGGTGAAAGGTGGCCTGAGGAGAATGTCATTTGAGCAGAACACAATAATGTAGAGTCTCCTATAGTAGCTGAGAGAGGATTCTAGAAAGTATGGAGCAGATAAAGCCAGGTTCAGGATTTTGAAGGAAACTTGTTGGTAAAATCTTGTACTTAAGATTTTAAATTGTTAAGTTTAAACATATTATCACGTTAAAACCCAAATCATGGGCAATGGAACATTGATAACTTATTTGGACATTGTGAAAGAGCTTGGTTGGAGTGGTTGGAGTCATGAGTTGCTTCTTTGCCCTGCCTGCTGCCCCCAGTACATAGATTCCACCGACCTGGAGCCCAGCACCCTGCAGGAGGAGCCTGTGCGGTACCACGAGGCCTGGCAGAAGCTCTGCAGTGCTCAGTAAGTAGCGTTCTTTCTGGGGGGCCGGGGTTCTGTTTTTGTGAATGAATATAGTTCTATGCTTCCAGTGCTAGCAGTAGGTAATCTACTTTGTTAAGTGTCTTTTAATAAGAGAAACTACCTACTGGATGACTTCAACCTACCCATAGATTTGGATTCAAAGAAACCCATTCTAATTTTATTGATAGTTTGCTGCTTTCATCTCATCATGAGGCTTAGCGATTTTTTTCATCCAGAACATTTGATGAGTAGCCATCAGTAGAATTCAGAAATTATTTTTAGCAGCTTTTTTTTGTGGTCCTGGGGTTGGAACCTGGTATCTTATATATGCCAGGCAAATGCTCCATCACTGAGCTATGCCTTTAGCCCTGGCAGCTATCCTTTATGATAGTCAAAAGTCTGCAAGGATCTTGGATCCCCTGGAGCAGGTGAATGCTGTGGGGCATGCAGCTGGTGTTGATGTGCTTGGTCAGCATGGCTCACTGCTGAGGAAAAAGGCCCCTTCTGACTCTCGGAACTCTGTGAGTCAAGAGGAAAAGTAAATTGTATTTATCTAATTATATGTTAAAATTCACGAGCCAAGTGCTTGGACCAAGTGCTGTAGCAGCCTTACGGTGATGGACACTGTCCTTCTACTCATAGAAGTATTTTCTCATGTAACTAAGTCTGTGGTTTTGTGTGCAGTTTCTAAGTTCAAAGTGTTGATATGGACAAACTAATTGACACTCTTTAAAAGAATACAGACTTAGTCCCAGTAGCAAAATATATGGAGTAAGTTCCTGGTCCCAGTACCTTGGCAGCAGCTTCTTTGTTGGTAGTTGCAAGCTGGGTTAGTGGAAAATCGGAGTTGCCTTGTGGTTTGTTCCCCTGTGCAGTGGAGTCCTGGTTCCAGGAGGATTTGGTGTTCGTGGTACTGAAGGGAAAATCCAAGCCATCGCCTGGGCTCGGAAACAGAAAAAGCCTTTTTTGGGTAAGGAACTGTACTTGCTCTCGCCAGTCTGAGGAGCCATTTGGGAGGGAGTTATAAATACAGCAGGGAGATATTGAAACACGACATGCTCAGTCTTTTTGGTTCTCTTTGGGAAAGATTCAGACTTTATTTTTAAATATAAAAAGTGTATTAGCTACATGTCAGTGCATGGAATATCGAGGAAATTCTGTTTGCAGTGCACAGGAGATTGAGTCTTATGTCCTGCTCACTTGGCATACTAGCCAGTTATAACTGGACAAAAATGGTTCTGAATGCTTCCTGGTGCTGTACATTTTAGTAATTTTCAACTTGACCAATTTGTGAGACCTTAATGAGGGAGGGTAAGAAAACTTGAATTTTATACTTGAAAACTTGAAACTGACTGGACTATTGCTTATTTTTTTAAGTTGGATAACTTTGCAGAAGCTGGGATCTTTAGGTCCACTTCTTCCACCCAGCTTTTAATATCCAGCACAGATAAAGCATACCAGTGGGATGCTTACTTGTAGCAGGAAATTAAGAGTTTGTGGTTATGACCCTGACCGTGCAAAACACAGTCAGAGCCCTTGGCAAGGCTGGTGGGGAATGTGGGAGCTGCCTTTTCAATGGAGCTTCATTTAGTTTTCTCTCTCCCTGGAAGGTGTGTGCTTAGGAATGCAGTTGGCAGTGGTTGAGTTTTCAAGAAATGTGCTGGGGTGGTCAGGTAAGCCTGCATTTAGAAACCCTCATTCCTGCTTAACCGCTTCCTGAGTGCATGAAGGCATTGCGTGTTGGGTGGTAGGAGCCTTGAGATGGTGCCTGGCTCTTCAGAACCTCCATGTGCAGAATGAATTTTGGGACTGGGCTGCCCTGCAGCTCTCCACAGGGGAGTGGGGGTCGAGGGCAGCTGTAGAAGCCCATCTTCAGCTCTCTGTCCAGCATGTTCTATTCTTTAAATTCTCTCTTTGACCACCATGGCCACCATCTCCCTGGTACCCACCAAGAAGTCACTGGACTAAGTGAGGCCTATGCAGTTGTTATAAACTTGGGCTCTGGAGCTGTCACACCTGAGCCTAAGTTCTGACTTTGTCACTTATTATGGATGATTTTAGATAATTTAGCCTCTCTGGGTCTTTGTTTCTTTTGTAAATGGAGTCAAAATGGTACCGACTTCACATAGTTGTAAAAATTTGGTGAAGAAATGCATGTAGGTAGTCCCTACCCGGGCCTGGCAAATAAGAAATGCTCACGTAGTGTCAGATCTGCTCATTAACTGTGTCGCTGTGACAGACCATCCCAAACTTGGTGGCTGGTAACAATCATGACTTGACAACTTCTCATTGTTCTGCTGAGTGGTTGTCTGCTCGGAGTTGTGTATCTGGGGTCACTCACTCCTGTCTGGCATTCAGCCTTGAGCTTGGCCCAGCAGGACACTGAGATGGTATGTCCATGTTGTGACTCATCATTTATTAATTCAGTCCAAGCTTCTTTACACACTATATCCTGACTGCACATGTTGTGACTCATCATTTATTAATTCAGTCCAAGCTTCTTTACACACTATATCCTGACTGCACATTGTAGCCAGGCCTACTGCACAGGCATTTGTCAAACTTGCCACTGTCCCACTGGCTAAGGCAAGTTACAGGCCAAACCCTGACTTCGTGGGAGTAGATGGTTGGGGTGGTGTCACAGGGCATGGGTACTGGATGTGTGGTTCGGGGGCCACGATGGAATAATCTGCCACAGTCATTTATTCTCTGTAGCCCAACTGACAAATACTAGCTTTTCAGAAGAAATGTAAGTTCTTTGAAAAATAAAGCATCCAGAAGGGATGTAAAAGCCGTCTGGGTTATACAGTATACGTGATTCCTCAGTGGCCAACTTGGCCAAGCTGGGTTTCAGTTCATCTCTCTTCTGAGAAGCTGTTGACCATAACCACGGGAGGGTAGCTGAGTATAGTAGGCAGCATGCCCCTGGTGCTGGCATTTGAATGCTGGCAGGGCTCTCTTTTCACCCTTGACCCCAGAATGGCTTTTGCGATTTCCTGGACTATTGCACAGCCTGACCCCTTGCCTCCCACTTGGGTTCCAGATAGGTGGGTGACTGGACATGAGCTTGCTCTTTAGAGGAGACCAGGCCCTGCTTCAGGCCCAGGAGGGTAGCAATAGTTAGTGCTCACACCAGGACCAACATGCAGTGTGGGGGACTTCCTTGTCCTTTTAGCCTGTAGTGGTTAGATGGTAAGTTTATTCACTGATAGGTTATTTCCATCGAAATCAGTTAGTTTGTGACTTGGCAATTGTACCAGGCAGTTCAATAGGGCACATTAGATGCTAAAGATGAAAGAAAATGAGAAGATGGTTCCTGCTTATTTTGGAGAGAGTCTACAACAAAATGTTTTTTTTTTTAAAAAAAAATGACAATGAAAAACTGTCACAGATTTTTAGGCTGTGCCGTTGGTTTAGTTCTCCCCATTGTGTCCAACTTGACTTTCCAGAAAGTTAAAGACTTGATAGAGGGGCTGGGGATGTGGCTCAAGCGGTAGCGCGCTCGCCTGGCATGTGTGCGGCCCGGGTTCGATCCTCAGCACCACATACCAACAAAGATGTTGTGTCCGCCGAGAACTAAAAAAAAAAAATAAATATTA